TGTATATATATATGTGTGTGTGTGTGTGTGTATACATATATATATATATGTATATATATAAAAACATTTTCTCTCTCTCTCTCTCTCTCTCTTTCTATATATATATTCTATTCATTTTAATCCTATCCGAATGTGTCTAAATCTCCTAGACTGATTTGATCATTCTAGTGGATTGGATACTTGTCTCTGATGGAAGAGACAAGCTAGGTTGCCCTGGCTAAAAGGTCAAACTTGGGAATCTAAGTGAAAGATTTTTTTAAAAAAGCACCCCCGAAATGCGTGCCTGCTAGGTTCAGATCCAGAGCTCGAGGAGTTATTTCAATAGGACAGGTGCCAACATGTATTGAGGATCCGACGGATATAAGGAACTAGGTGTAAACGCTTGGGGATTGTGACATTTGTGGTCAGTGTTTGCGTAATCCAACAAAAAGCTGTCGTATACGCACTTGGCTCTGTTCTTTGCGACGCAGCATCGTTTCGGGGCCTGGAGAGAGGAAGAGAAAAGTAGGATCCAGCAGGCTCCAGGTGCTGCCTCCGGGGTTTTGTAACTGCCACTGAGCCGGGACGCGGTGCATTTCTGCAGAGGAAATGGAACTGAATAGGGGATGGGGAAGGGGTGATTGCCCTAAAAAATAGCTTTCCACTTATTAGCTGACATGCTGCTACACCATTCTGCTCTTGCAGCTGTAGGAGCCGTGCACGAGTTGCACAGTTACACGCAGAAGCTGCTCTATGTTATCACCGTTTAGATAACAGAGATAAAAGTTAGCAGGATCCAGGCACCGGATATGTGGTTTCTCAGCGCGATTGGGTGGAAAGGCAGGAGGGTCTGGATGATTTTCTTGGCCAGCAAAGTGGGAAGGGGGAATGACCCCTGCTTCCCATTCAAATCTGACAAGCTGGTGCTTGGGGCCAAAAATCGCCAGGGTCTCCGCTGGATCCGAGCGTCCGATCCGTGCGGGAAGCGGTGATGCACCGGGGTGCCTCGGGGTCCAGACGATGCCAGTGCAACGCGAGCTCGCTATTCATTCGCCGGCATTTGGGAACTAGGGCTCCAAACCGGAGGGCTCCGGCAGGACAGGCAGATCCCTCACAGCGGAGGCAGAGGTGCCAATTCTTTCTCTCTTTCTTTTTTTTCACAGCTACTTACGCGCTGCAATGTGTCAGGGTCCCGGTCGGTTGGATTTTTTGTTTGTTTTTTCTTTCTCTGCGGTAGCAAATACGCAGGGAGGTTCCGGATACCAATTTGGCTAGATCCAGCAGGATCCCCCCGGCTGAATCCGGGTGCCTGCAGCGCTCAAGTTCCGGCATGCATGAGATCGCGCATTTTACGCGTTG